TTGGGCCTGCCCCTACGCCTAAGCTCATTGGGGGGGGGGGGGGGAGGGATTTCTTGTTTTCTGCCTCTGTCTCTCCAGCAAGCATGCTTGCCTTATAGCAGAAATCTCTCTTTAAAAAAAAAAAAAGAAAGAAAGAAAGGAAAAAAACATTTAAAATAAGAAAAAAAGCCCTAACAATGCTGAAACATAGAAATGTTTCACATGCAGCCCCATAGACTAGTTAAAACAACATTCCCACACTTGTGTGTCCATATTAGCGTGATTCTTCACACTTACTTTGATCATGCTCAATTACTTAAGACTTACAAAATTCTTCTTTTCCCCTGGTTTTGTGTTGTTTTGACTACACAAGAAAATCGGTCCTGATATTTACGGCCTAACCTGGTTTTTGGCTATTGGATCAATTGACCATACCCCTTAATTGTACTTGCCATGTCTTAACATTTCTTCTATTGGTTTCTAAACATGAAATCCAATTCCAAATGGTAAGATTTCTGTACCACTAAGGATGCTGAAGGAAACGTTTATAAAAAAGAAAAGCAATATCCCAAAAAATTTCCAGAAATATTTTGAACTAGGGCTGGCCCTGTGACACAGTAGGTCCTGTGTGGTGAGCACAGTTCAAATCCCAGTCTGGGGACCAGCGGGTGGCATAGTGGTTAGGGTGCTGGATACTTTCACATGGCCGACCACAGTTCGAGTCCTGGACCTGGTGGCTTGATTTCCCGCTTTCCTTCTCTCTCTTTCTCAACCTCTCTCTCTCTCTCAATCTCTCTCTGATCAAATTAAAATAAATGAATGAAAAAATAAAAATTAAATAATTCTTTAAAAAAAAATGCCCAGGGAACCAGCGGTTGGCGTAATGGCTATGTCGCTGAACTCCCACATAGTCGATCGTGGTTCGCGTCCCGGACCCGGTGGCTTAAAACTCACGCCGGGCGCGTGTGCGTGTGTGCCCAAGATCCCGAGAGGAGAATGGAGGAGAAGGGATTGCGGCGTGACCATCCCCCCTGGGGGGTGATTTCTCGCTTTCTGTCTCTAATGTCTCTCTCTGTCTGTCTGGCGAGCGCCCGCGCCCTATAGCGAAAACCTCTCAAAAAAAAAAAAAAAAAAAAAGAAAGTCCAGTCCAGTGAGCCCAAATCATGTCAGGGAACATGTGAGTGACCATGGATCCAATGGGCTGGAGAGCTTGAAGGACGGGAATTGCAGCATGGCTAGACCCTATGGCATGTGCTTCTTTCTCTCTCTCTCTTTCACTGTCACATGCACACACACATGCTCTATCATGAATTTTTAAAAAGAATGAAAAGATACCATGAACTATACTCATTTTTGAAAAAAATAAAAGTATATGGCCTACCAGGATGATTCTTCGAAGAGAACTAATCTCATTTAGATGTGTAAATTCTGGGATGTTCAGGGTTTTAAAAATTCTGTTTTTTAAAAAATAAGAAACCTGTAGATAAAGGTATGTCCTGATCCTGAGTTGATATCACTAGCACACTAGCACGAATCCTCAACTTAATTAGGTGGCCAATAAAACTCACCACAGGGCTGTTGGGTGGTGAGGTGATTGGGGTGCTGGACTCCCACGTGGCTGACTATGCTTTGAGTCTAGGACTTGGCAGCTTACTTTCTCAATTTTTCTCTCTCTGTCTTTCTCTCCTTTCTCTTTCTCTCTCTCTCTGTGTGTCTCTCTCTGGTGAGAGACGTGCCCTATAACAAATTTTTAAAAATAATAATAAATTAAATTAAATTGGGACCAGCAAATGGACTTCCACATGGCCGACCACAGTTTGAGTCCCAGACCCAGAGGCTTGAAACTCCCTCCAGGCACATGTATGTGCATGCCCAAAATCCCAAGAGTAGAATGAAGGAGAAGGGATTATGGCATGGCCATCTGCCCTAGGGGGTGATTTCTTGCTTTCTGTCTCTGAATCTCCA